GTCCTTCTCAATAATCCAAGATAGAATAGGGGCAATTGGCATAGATTGTCATCGACAGCAGACAATTCCCATGAAAGTTGGCGTTTGGCTGTAGAGGGAACCACAGCAAAGCTGTTCAGACGTGAGCCTTTCTAAGTTTTATTTTATTTAGGTAACATAGATACATCTCAAAAGTACTGTGCTATGAGAAAGAAGCCAGGCACAAAAGATAATGCATTTTATGAGACCATTTATATGAAGATCTAAAAAAGTCAAAACCATAGTGATAGAAAACGTTTCAGTGTTTCTTAGGGGTTAAGAGAGAGTGGAAAGAATTTTCTGCAAAGAGACATGAAAGAGCTTTCTGGAATGAGGAAATTGCTCTTTATCTTGACCACAGTGGTTAATACATAGGCATGTACATTTATTAAAGCTCATGAAATGGTATATTTAGAGTTGATGAATTTATGTAAACTAATATTCAGTAAATCTGATTTTATAAAAAAAATTAAGTAAATGGGAGTCAGTAGCATTGTCAATTGATTATAGTATCTCAGTCTAATTATCTTTAGGCCCAGAACCCAGAAGCTAATTTGCATTGATTAGAATAACTCATCAGAGAAGGATGCTATTTAGAAGATTTCTTAGTATCTGATGTTGACAGAAAATGGAAATTATTTCTCCTTTGAAATCCTCCTGGAAAGATACCATACTAGAAAATTTTAAGATTTCCATCATTTAAAGTACTTCTGAAAGTCAGGCTCCAAGGATGGAGCCACTGAACTTTTTGATTGCCTTATATTCCTTCAGCCTTCCTTGAAAAGAAACACAGAAATGATAGCTATCATTTACTTAGCAACAACTCCAGGACATACTCTAGGCCTACTAGTGCTTCACTTTTATTATCTCATTCATCAGCAGAGCCATTCTGTACAGTAGGTTCTCCTGTCTTCCCTAAGTTTGCAGAGGAAAGATCTGAAATTTAGAGAGGTTAGACAACTTGTTTAACTAACAATTAACACTTGGATTGGGATTATCTAAGGCTAAAGCCACTTAAATGCTCTCTTTACTTCCCATCTCTTCTTAACTGTTCCTGCACCATCTTGCTCAGACTCTAATATGTACTGTCTCCAAGTTGCTGGCTTAAGGTCCACCCTGGGTCCATAGCCAGACATGCTTGCTCTGCATTTCTTCCAGGATCTTGTGAGTCTTGGACTCCTTTAAATCTCAATAGATTGAAGAGGTCAAATCTATTTATTTGCTGAAAATTTGCAGATGTACCCTGCCACTTTAAGCAATTAGCACCTGGGCAAGGAATTGCTTCAAATATGAGGAATTATCTTCTCTGTTTTCCAAAACCACTGCTCTGGCAGAGCTGAACTCAGGAGAAATCAGAGACTTGGCATTGGGTTATGGCCCTCAGTAGCCAAAGGGCTGTTTTTTGTTTTTTGTTTTTTTTGTTGTTGTTTTTTGTTTTGTTTTTGTTTTAAGAGCAGGTGCTTAGTGATGATGCACAGGAAAGGTACATAGTATATGTGGGAGGTACTGGGGATTGGGATGGCTTTGGCCACCATACACATCTGGTGACTGAAGTCACTGTTCAGCCATACACCTTGCACATGGCTGGAAATGGTGGGGGTAATAGCGAATAGACCTCTGCCAGAGAGTGGAAACCCATTTTAACTCTTAAGTACAAGCATCAAAAGATTCTGAGTTTGTTTTCAGAAGATTGTCCATCTGCTGTGAGAGGCAAAGAAGTGCTATTAAGGTGTTGCAAATGTCCCTGTCCCCTAATACATCTTCCATGTCAGAGGGCCAACTGCATAATAAAACCAGATTCAGAACCCAGCCCCCAGATGGGAAGATTCTTACCAACGCCCCAGGAACTGAGGTTTACTCACTTGTTCTAATGAGCAAATGCTTAGAAAAGAAACTGACATTCATATGAAGTGAAAATGAGGCTGTTTACACCTCCAAGGGGGACCTCAAATGTGAGCTTGAGAGCTCAGCATGTCCACAGAAGCTGTGCTGCCTGAGGACTGTAAAGATAAGAAGAGCCGTGCCAGCTAATGCATCTCTTGCTGATTGAATAGGTAGCATCCTTAGAAGCCCTCCTTCTCCAACAGCTTTGCTGCTAAGGGAGAAATCAAGGGCAGCCTTAGCAATAACATCACCATCAGGTAGGGTCAGGTAAAGCAGGAAACTTTAACATGGTCATTTTTTTATGCCAAAAAATTCTGACAATAGCTTTGATGTTACTGCTTGATAATTATTGACTTCACATTATTTTGTTTGAGAAACATTTTTTGAGCTTTTAATGAAGTATAAGTGAAAGAATATGATTTTTATGGAAACTGCATTTTTCCTCCAAAAGAAAATACTTAAATTTCTCTCCTTACTGAGAAACTTAAATAATAGAAAGTTAAATTTCCTAAAATCTAAGAGAAAAAGTAGATGCAAGATAAAAAAGAAAAAAGATGAATGCTATGGTGCAAGTAGACCCTCCCAGCCTTTTAATGCACGTACAAACCTACCTTTACCTTGAACATGGTCTAGTGCAATACCGTTCTGTAACCACCTTGTTTCATTCCTCAATATGTCATGGCTCTACGTAGATGTGAATACATTCTGATCTACTTTATCTTTCCAAGGGCTTCATTGTAGTCCTCTCATGGATGTAGTTTAATTAACTAATCCTCTGAAAGACTTTTGGGCTATTGTTAGTTACTACAAAGAATTCTGATAACTATTTTGGACCATAAGTCTTGGCATACCTGTGCAATAATTTCTAAAGGATAAATTCTCGGATGTGAACTTGCTAGTTAGAAACTAGATACCTTTTCAATTTTAATAAATTTGTCAAAATGACATGTATTTCTTTACTGACTCCCTGGTTTAAATGTTTGAAACTGTATGCCTCTCAAATTAGTATTAACTCTGGGCAGTACCAATCTTTGCTAAAATGATAGGGAGAATGAACTTATATTATTTTAAATCACATTTGTTTAGTTATTAGTGATTTGAGGTCTATGTCATATGCTCACTGGCCATATGTATTTCTTCTTTTGTAAACTCAATATATTATGAGGATATATTTTAGGTTTAATTATTGAATGAGAACTTTTCTTACATTAAGAATACATTATCAGGCTGGGGATGTCGCTCAAGCGGTAACGTGCTCGCCTGGCATGCGCGGGATGCTCAGTTCGATCCTAAGCACCACATAAAAATAAAATAAAGATGTTGTGTCCACCGAAAACTGAAAAGTAAATATTTAAAAATTCTCTTTCTCTCTTTTTAAAAAAAGAATACATTATCACATATTTTTCATGGAATTAAATATTTTTAATAGCAGCAGAAAATATCAAACAGGTTTACTTATATAAACTCTGTTTTTGTTGCTGTGACCTAAAGACCTGACAGGAACAATTTTAGAGAAGGAGGAGTTTATTTGTCGCTCATGGTTTCAGGCATCTCAGTCCATGGACGCTGACTGGATTGCTCATTGCTCAGAACCTGAGATAAGGCAGAAGGGCATGCAGGAGGAAATGACTCCATACATAGGCAACAGGAAGCAGAGAGAGAGTTACACTCAAGGAGGAAAGATACATGCCCCAATGTCACACCCTCAGGGATCCACCTCCTCCAGTCACACCTGCCTTCCTACAGTTACCACCCAGTTAATCCCAATCAGGATTAATACACCGATTAGGTTAAAACTCTCATAATCCAACCATTTTACCTGTAAGCTTTTTTGCATTGTCCCACACATGAACTTTTGGGGTAATATCTAACATGAGTTAATATTTAAACTCTGATCTCTCTCCTCACCCTCCCTCCCCGCAAAAAGGAAAACTACCACAAAACTTTTAGTTATTGTATTAGTTCCCCAGACATGCTGTAAAAAAGAATCACCAAGTGGATGTCTTAAAAAAAAATAAGACATCTTTCACAGTTCTGGAAGCTATAAGTCTAAAATCAAAACTTCTTTGGAACTTTTTTAAAAAATGTTTTTATTAGTTATTGATGGACCTTTACTTATTTATTTGTTTATATGTGGTGCTGAGAATCAAAACCAGTGCCTCACATGTGCTAGGCAAGCGCTCTAACACTGAGCCTCAACCCCAGCCCTTTCTTTGGAGACTTTTAAGGGAAGATCCTTCCTTGCCTCCTCCAGTTACTAGTGCCTCTAGGTGTTCTTTGGCTGGTAAATGCATCAATGCAATCTCTACCTTCACCACGTGGTGCTTATCTTGTATGTCACTTCTCTGCTTATAAGGATACCAGTCACATTGGATTAGGGCCCACACTAAAGATGTCATCTTAACTTGATCGCGTGTGTAGGACCTATTTCCAGGTAAGAATACATTCACAGATATTGGGGTTAAGACTTCAATGTATCTTTTTGAGGGACACAGCTAACCCTATAACCAACACCTACCTATTACAAAGTGTCTGCTATCACCTGCACTTATAAACATAGAAGGACAGGACTGGGTCAGTCTTATTCCATATTCCAATTCCCAGTACTTTGTACAGTGTCTAGAAGATAGTGGGCAATCAATTATGGTTTCTTAAAAGAATTTTAGTTTCAGGAATATCTGGTCTTTTCAATATGAAAAGATATAGAATATATCAAATTCTCTTTTATTTAAATTAACATTTGTAGGGGCTAGGGTTGTGGCTCAGTGGTAGAGCGCTTGCTTGGCGTGTGAGGCACTTAGCACTACATAGAAATAATAATAATAAAGACATTATGTCCACCTACAACTAAAAAATATTTTAAAAAATAAATCAATATTTGTAATTACACTATTTGCAAGTGAGGTTACCTAGACTGTACAGAAGAGATGGTCTCAGCTTTCTGAGTGGGCATTTTAACCAAGATGTGTGTTTATGGTTTCCCTGGCACCTGTCCTAAAATGAGTCTTTGAGAAAATGCAGATAAGCCTTCTCTAAAATCAAATTTATTTATCAGAATTATTGAGCTGGATGAAACTGAAAATAAGCCAACAGAACCCTTAAGAAATCCCAACTTTTTTATTTTCTTCATAGTGTTAAATATAATTGCCAATTTATTACATAATTAGGGAAAGCAAAGCCCAGCATACCAAAGATAAGAAATGGCTACAGAAACTAAGTTTTTTGAACTTATTTAACAAACTAATTAATTTCCATTAACAGCAAACACTTCCAAACTATTGTACAGAATTTCCGCATTTAAACTTTTCTAAAATATATATATATATATATATATATATATATATATATATATATATTATTTAAGCTGGGCACAGTGGCACACACCTATAATCCCAGAGGCTCAGGAGGCTGAGACAGGAGGAGTGTAAGTTTGAGGCCAGACTCAGCAATTTAGCAAGGCCCTAAGCAACTAAGTGAGACCCTATCTCAAAATAAAAAATTGAAAAGGCTGAGAATGTATCTCAGTGGTAAAGTGTACCTGGGTTAAATTCCCAGTACCAAAACAAAAAAAAAATTATTGTTTAAAAAATAGTTATATACATATAATTACTATAGTTAATTTTTTTGGAAGTCAAGAGTATTCTCTAGTTATCTATAATGTCTTCCTCCTACTTTCTCCAAAGGTAAGATTAGTCAAATGCAGTCCTGTGGGGCTATGTCTAAAACATCTACTTTGTTTTGCTTTACTTTCCGTGACCACAGTTCTATTACAAGAGCAATGTTTTAGGTCCTAGTGTACAGCAAGAAAGATGAGGTATTTCAATTCCAACAGAAGCAACATTCTGATCTGAGCATTTTTTCTGCACTCATGCCTAGGTGTGCAAAACTGGGCCATTATTCAGATACACACCAAAGACATTATTCAGTTGTGTGTGACCTAGATGCCCAGTTCCTCACACTCAGAAGGGCACTTGGTTTGATGTGCTGCTGTTGCCATCTCCAGTTTCTTAATCATTTTTAAACAATGGGCCCCATGTTTTCATTTACACTGGGCTTTGCAAATGATGTTGCCAGTCTTAGACACATACACACAAAAGTTGCTTTTGCCTGAATTCATTTTACTTGTGATCTGCCTTTTAATTTGGCACTGAACAGAGAGTTGTGGGTAGTGCCCCAGTGGCAGGATGACTCCAGTTCTAGAAACTTTTCAAAAGTGTAGAAATTCTTAGTCATGCAATTCCCTGGAAACAGTAAAGGAAGGAAACATACAAAGATGATTTTTGATTTTTGTTTATCTGCAAGCCGGTAGAGTTGAATTAAGCTCTCATTGTAATATGGAAGAATACAGCTCAATGTATATACAGGTGCACCATGCACACACATACCCATATATCAGCTTCATGAAATAACTGGTTCATTTGAAGAGCAAGTATGTATGCATATGTGCCAAGGCTAAATATAAATCCATTCCTCTCTCCTTTATCATCAAGGTGATTATTTCAGCAATTGAAATGAAAAGCAGCATTTGTACAAGGCCCGAGCATGGCTGTTCTTTAGAAACACAGTCAAAGCTGCCTGTTTTAAATCAGGAAGAACCTTTTTTCTGTTCTTCTCCAAAAGGATGGTGGGGGATTGTGGTCTAGAGATGCTGTGAGATGTCTAGCCTCTATTTATGAAGAGAAATTAAATTCAGTACAGGACATGATTCTTGTACAGCGGGGTTAGATTGTGATTTTTGAAAGGATGAGTCGTGCTGGGCGTAGTAGTGCATACCTGTAGGCCCAGAGACTGCAGAGGCTGAGGCAGGAGGTTCCAGGCCAGCGTTGGCAACTTAGTGAGACCTCGTCTCAAAATTAAAAAAAAATTTTTTTAAATGGGACTGATTGTAGCTCAGTAGTAGAGTGTCCCTGGGTTCAATCCTCAGTAACCCTTACTACACACACATGCACGTATACACAAAGGATGATTTGACAAAGAAGAAGAGTTCTTTGTAGATACCTAGGAGCAAGGAGAAAGCTCAGTGGACAATGAGCTACCCATATCCCCAAAGGCCATGCAGGCCTTCTTACTCTGGCTGAGTGTTAGATTCACCTTGGAGTACTTAGAAAAATACTGATGTCTGGGTCTCATCTAATGCTAATTAGATTTTAACCTGAGAATGGGGCACAGGCAAGGATTTGTTTTGTTTTGTTTTTGGTACTTGGAACTGAACTCAGGGCACTTAATCATGGAGTCACATCTCCAACTCTTTAATTTTTTTATTTTGAGACAGGGTCTTGCTAAGTTGCTTAGGACCTTGCTAAGTTGCCAAGGCTGACTTTGAACTTGTGATCCTCCTGCCTCAGCCTCCCATAGGGAGCCTCCCTGGGATTACAGGTGCGTACCACTGTGCCCAGGGAAGACAAGGGTATTTTTAAAAAATGTTCCTGGTGGTTCTTATTTGCAGCCAGAGTTGAGCATCCCTTGGCTTTTTAATACACAAAAAAAGAAAGGTCTGGGCTACATCAAAGTCCATCTGGTATCCATTTTGAAAATAAAAAAATTAGAAATATATTTATATCTGATTATACTTAAATGTAGACACCATCAACATAATTATTTTTATGTAATTTATTAACTACAGGTAATTAAAGATATTATATAAATAATTTAATGATCTCTCTCTAAGGTTAATCAAGAGACTTAAGAGATGAAACTGGCAAGAAACTTAAGAGATGAGATTTTTTTTTAAGGATGATATTTTAGTTGTTTTTAGTAAATACAGGATGTACCAAAGTCTAAAAGTCTATGAAATCAAGAAATGGGTAAGACAAGTAGTGTTTTTCCAAACTCTTTAAATAACAAATATCTTCTTCCATTAAAAATTAAAAAAAATATATATTAAGACCAGAAATTTAAATTAAAGCATGTGGAAATTATCATATTAATTAAAATCATATTTTCTAGAATGCCTCCCTTAATAACATACTTTTTAAAAAATCCACTAAACATTTTCATAAACTATAATTATAATTCTAGTAATCCTAGAATACAAATATTTTTTCAGCCAAGTTTTGAGTTCTAAGGTAAAGATGTCCTTGATGTTCTCAGAGGTCCACAAAGGGTTGTAGAAAGGTCTCACCTGAAGAAGAAGGGAGTCAGGGAGGAAGGGAGAGAGGGAATGAGCAGGTTCAGGCCAGCAGAGACCTATTGGTGACTTCCAGCTTCTGTGCTGGAGGCCACACTAATTGTATTGGATAATAAAAGGTCTCATCTCTGTTTTGGATATCCATTACCCTGGGGGCAGGCCGGCAAAGTTCAGGGTTTCCCCTCTGTGCATCTCAGCTGCACAGTGTTAAAGAATCTGATTGCAAAAGATACTGAAAAGACTAACACGCTTTCCTTGCTTTTAGCATACCACTGACATCTGCCAACACCAAGGGGAGGTTTGGAAGCATCATTTGAGGAATGAGACAAAGGTTACAACAGTTGCATCTTTTTTCCTGGAGAGCTTAAAGCACAGGAGGAGAACCAAAATGGAGAGTAAAACAGATGTCATCAACTATTCTAAAGAATTTCCAGAAGCACTCAATAAGATAGTCAAAATATCAGGCCCCCGTAAGGACATCATCAGTCTGTCTCAACTCGAAATGTCCTCCAGCATCACTGAGACGAACGAGAAGAAACAAACCTGCAAAGAAGCCCAGCGCTGAATATAACTTCAGCAGTCGGCGATGCCCATCTTTTCTTTTCTCCAGTGAGGAGTTCATCTAGGAAAGGAGCTCTGTTAAGTGCCAACTCTCACCATGTCCTGTTGCATTTTAAATACAAGCTTGATGACTCTGATGCGCCGACTTAAAAGCTTTAGAACACGGAGTTGTTTTTTACTCCAGCCCAAAGTATTAGGCTGAGTGTTTCTCTCCTTGCTTGATGCCAAGAACAAGGTGCAGGAACCAGTTAAACTGAACGGTCCATCCTTTGTCTCTGCAAACTTCAATCTGATCAAGGAAGTACTTTTTAGCATCCTCCTCGTTTTTCCCCACTGTCAGGGCATCCCGGATGTACTCGATATCTTCTTTGCTGGTTAACTGGGGCATTCCTGTCATCAACATCATGGAGAACAGGATGATCAGCAGGTTTGTGTGATGGCGAAGGGCTAGGTAGGCCTTGACACAGACATCCTGGATAAAGGAGAAGAAACTGCTGTTACGGGTGTTAGAGTAACTGTAGGCTAAAGACCCCTGGGCTATACTGGCATTTACGTAGCATCATCATGAGAAGAAACCATCATACACAAGGCAGCTCTCTGCCCCAGAAGGAAAACTTGATGAGAACATCGGCTATTTTTATGATTTCTTCAACACTGCAGTGTGGATGCATAGAGGCAGGGTGTGCTCAAGAAAAGCTAATTGATTCAGTTATTTGTTGTTTGTTATTCTACCTTTTAAATTCAATTTCCTTCCTAAGAAATTGAGGGTAGAAATATTCATGGTCTCTGAAGAGGAACGAGTCATTTTTGAGCACCATACTGGAATCGATAAACTTTATGTAAGCAAAAATCATGTTTGCCAAGAGCTAATGAAATCCAAAGAAGTGAAAGAAATACGGTGTCTGAGATTTAGTTTTATCCTTATTTTGCACTTTGTTCTATTTTAAGAAAGCAGATGAGTTAGCTTTTTACTGCCTGATTCTCAAAATTGTTGAGTGAACTTTGAAATTTTAATACAAATTCTGAATACTGAGAGAGAGGGCTTTAAAAAATATGATGGCGGATGCTGTCCCAAAAAAGCTTTGGAGCAGGTGATAAAGGTGAGTTATGCCTACTTAGTGAGAAACAGGTACAATTATGTCATTAAATTGTCCCAAAGCACAGGAAAAGATGCAAAGTTCCCAATTTTATAACATGAGAACATGAGACTTAGAATAAACACATATATAAAAACATTAAAAAAAAAAAGGTAAGACAGTTTACTGAGTTACATAAAATAAAACTTAAAATACATGGAGTGACCTGCGATGTTCTTCAAAGACAAAATTGCTAATTATCAAGACGTAACTTATTCTTGGATTAGTCTATAAACACAATCAAATTTCAATAAAAATCTTTATCGGTGTTTAAACTCAGATATAGTTCATCCAGAATAGTTAGGGTCCAAGAGAATGTTTTGGAAAATTACAATAATGAAAACCAAAGTTTGCCATAGAAGATATTAAAACACCTTACCAAACTATAATATTTGATTAATTACCCTGGGCAGATGCCTGTGATCCCAGCTTGGGATGCTAAGACAGGAGGATCGCAAGTTTGAGGACAGCCTGGGCAACTTAACAAGACTTCGTTGAGGCCAGAGGGCAGCATATTATGAGAGCTCAGGACACGTCAGTTCTTTCCCTCTCCTACCATCTCTTCTCTGCTTACTGTGAAGCAGGAGACTTGAAGAGACTCAAAAGTCTATTTGGATGGTTCCTGCTGTAGCCCAGGCCTCAGCTGTCCCCTGGCCACGGCTCCAGTGCATTAGTGCTCTTGCATTCTTTATGACTCCACCGATGTGCGGAAATCGTTTTCTTTTGCTCATCTGTAGGACCCAAAGAGGTTTGTCTTGGTTCTTTGTAATTACAGAGGCTAAGTGCAGACTTCACCTCAGGCTACAGTCTCATTAATTTGCCAACTTTCAAGATTCTCACACAGGCTCTGTGGGGATGCCTTTCGATTCTGAATTAGAGTGCATTCTGATTTTTAATTATTTCCTATTCCTTTTACATACTAGGGGCTCTAGGCAAATCCCGTGCTGGGTGAGCCCACTGTGTGGTCAATCTCTTTTTAATCAGAAATTTTCATGGAGGGAAATTAACCCAAGGCCAAGTTATTACCACAGCAATCCATAGGTGCTCAGTAAATAATTGTTAGGTGGTGACTGACATACTGATTCCTGCAGTACCCAAAGAGATTCATTAAGGGAAAGGAACTGTGTTGCTTCTCTTAAAGACCTCTCCAACCATACAAATGATATATATATTTTTTGTTTTTGTGTTTGTGATGTTGGGGATGGACAATCCAGGGCCTCATACTAAACTACATCCCCAGTCTATATGATATTTTTTGGCTCTGATATGTTTTGGCTAGTTCTGATTTTCACACACAAGGGTCTGTTATATGAAAAAGAAAAACTTCCTCCCCAAGTTTAACTGCATGCTCCTTACTTGTTGGACACAATGTACAAGTTCTGACTGGCTGTGCAGACTTAGAGATTCAGTGCAGATTTAATTATCCTTTGCTTAAATTAAGACACTGTGTGGAGCAGTGGTTAACAGCGGAGTCACATCTTGCTGTATAAATTCAGAGCTTGGCTTTCTTACTGACAAGCTGTCTGTCATCAGGCAATTCACTTAACTTCTCTGGACCTCAGTTTTCTTACAACAATAATAACAATAACAAACTGCATCCATTTCATATAGTTGTGGTAAGATTTAAATGCTAGGTGACTGGTTGGCCATCACTACTAAATACTCTGCAGATTTGCATTATTGAACACATATACACTTATCAATGCTAAGGAGGTCACTTTTCCACCTAGACCCTCTGTCTGTCCAAAACATCTTCTTAGATGGCAAAGCTGTAGGGGGTGAGATGGGCCCCCCTCCACCGAGTGCTGGGGGAAGAGTTGACTTCACTGGCCCACTGAAGTGGGTGGGATGGAAGCCTGTGGCACCTGGCTACAACTGCAGGTGGTCCTCTTGCCTCCGGGGCCTGGTGGAGCACCTGCTCCACCCACTCAAGCCCTAGAAGTTTCATTTCTGTCCTCTGCACCCAACCAGGGCATCTGTGAATCTGTCCTGATCATGCAGGTTGGGCTCAGGGGCCTGTGGTTTGAGAGACTCTGAGGATGTGGCTTGGGAACTTGGGGGAAAATCCAGAACACAGAAGTTACCGGCTGTCGAAACAGAATTTTCCCTTCTGCCAATGCTGCCTGTCATTGACCTCAAACGTTCCTCCCAACTGTATTTTGAGGCTCTGTATTATTGAGTGGAGAAGAAGCGGTGAGGGAAGAATCTGATTTGGGGGATTTGGTTTAATGTACTTGAAATGAGAGTGAATTATCATTAACGTCATTAGTAGCTAATAAAGAGGTCCAGCCTATGTAGTACATCTGCTCTTAATTTCATTGTTGATTTAAATGCCTTAATTACAGCAGCTAAGTAACCAAAGGAAGGATTGTTTTTTACAAAGCTACCACCCCTGAAAATTTTGGAAACCAAAGGAATTTATTATCATTTCAGGGCCCAAACTTTGAATCCATTTGCTAACTGCCCCACCTATCAGTTTGCTAAAGAGGAAGCAAAGGACCGCTAAACACCGTCTCCTAGTTTCTTAACCTCTGGGGAGCTGTGACTGTGGCAGACTGTCCAGGGTCACAGGGAATACTTGTTCTTATAGTCAAATCCCCCATTCTCATCCAAAATTAAAGTGGAAGTGAAATATTTACAAAAACAAAGAAGTAATATTACGACCATAAAATAGAAACTCCAGGGAAAGATTCTAAGGCTGAGGGGAGAGAGAGATGCTCACAAAAATTCATCAATGAAAACAAAAAGTTCCCACCCACTGACTTTTCCTAAATCGTAATGTTACCTCTGTCTGCCAAAGGAAGGACACAGAAGAGAGAGAGAAAAAAATTCAGTTTACAGTAAAGGACTTTATTTATTTATTTATTTTAAAATTGGCCAGCCAGTGTCTTTAGGAGTGATTTTGGCCAACCAGAGAAGGTCACTGATTAATAGCCCTAATAATGCAGGAAGCATCACTCTCTGGTAAACCTGAACTAGAGGATGCCCAACACTTAGCCATGTACTTGTTGAGTTTGTATTAGGATTCATATCTTCATAGTCTCGAAAATAATTCTCAGACTAGCTGTTTGCAAAGGAAAGGACTATGCTGTCATCTCAAATATTTAGCTAGAAACTCATTAGAAGCCTAAAGACTACAATTAAGCTGTTCTACTTTAGTCACTATTCAGAATAGTCTATATGTAGGAAGGAGTGTGTGTGTGTGTGTGTGTGTGTATCTTCCAGTCTTGCTGCAAAAAGGATTTAAGGTGAACTATTTGGATACATAAAAGTCAAAACAACATTAGTGAGAGGTGGATGGAGAAAGGAAAGGAATAAGAAAGGAAGTGATTCACAATGGCCAGAGAAATAAACTAATTTAAAACCACACACGGAAAACTCTGTAGACTTGCTATATAAGTTGTCTCCAAATAAATCTCTAACCAAAAAGAAACTAATTCATTTCTTTATCCAATGCTTAGAGGCTTTTTTTAAATACCTATTTGTTTAGGAGAAGCACTGCTTTTCTAGAAACCAAAATCAATTGAAATTTTACAAGGGCATCTACGGAGCATATACTCTGTAACGTGGCGAATGAAGTCCTCAAAATATTCTCATGGTGACAAAACGATTCTCTAAAAGAAACTAGAATTAAGAGGCTAACGCTAGGCAAAAGATCATTCTTGATTAGTGTTTCAAAGTAGCAGGCAATGGGGATGCTGCATGCTGGTTCCTTAGCCTATACATCACCATATATGGATTCATATCTTTTCTAGAATAGTGATCAAACTCAATAAGCTAAACAAAGTCTTTACAATCTGACAAGCTCACACAAGTCTGAATCTAGCAGAAATTTCACACCAACATATCCAACCCCCTATATGTAGCTGCTGCTGGACCCTTCTAGGCAAGTGTCTTCCAATCCATAACACAGAGAGTGAAGTACGGAGAGTCTCTTCACTGGGATTGATGAGACCTAACTAATGCACCAGGGTAAAAATCCCAAGAGTGAATCCTTAATCAGCTCAGCACATTTTGTGTAATGTGACAGATGAACTTGTCATCTCCCACTTGACCTATAATAGACCTTAATTAGAATAATTGTGGTTAATCGATTGAGCTCCAAATGACATCGTTGCTTTGCTCTGCTCTCTACCCTCTAGTCCAGCCTATGCTCTATTTTAAGTTGGATCCAAATTTCCTTTCTTGACTCAAGTTCTGCTACACATTCCATAGAAACCTATGTTCCATTCATACTGGGGTATTGTACTTTTTCTCCCTAAATATCGATTGTATGTACTTTTCTAACTTTATGCACTCGCTCATGTTAGTTTTGTTCTGTCTCGATGTTCCTTCT